TGTGTGTGTGTGTGTGTGTGTGTGTGTCTCTGTGTGTGTGTGTGTGTGTGTGTGTGTAGGGGGTGTGTGAAACACGGCTAACCCATAATGTATGGGACACTAGTCATTGCCATTATGTCCATTGCGGGAATCAGAAAGCATGATTAGATACAAGATTATTCAAGACAGCATAGGTTAGGTTACGAGGAGCATGTTAGAACGGTTAGAATTAGTGGGTTAGTAGGGGTTAGGAAAGGGTATTAGAACCCAGCCATAAGGGGGGTGCACGCCCTGAAGCGCGCTTTTCGCTGCTTAGCACCCGTAGCAGCTCATCAGAGGGACAGTCTCAGGCTCCTGTTAGGTAGAAGAGATGTTATGTTCGAAGATACGACAGTTTAGACACATAAAGAGCAGGATATTAGCTTACCTGGAGGCGGAATGCTTGCGAAGATGCGGCATCTTCGAAGGTAGCCATCGCCTCCCGACGGTCTTGTCTTATCGCTGCCCGAAATAGCACTTGTAGCAAAAATGCCAGCGCGTGCGTTAGCTCACGGGCATCCAATGCTCAATTAGTGAGTGTCTGGTCGTATGGCCGAGCTTGGAGGATTACTCGGTTTCCAGCAAAGGAGGGAGGGGGGGAGATAGAAGAGGATGGAGCGCTCAGTTGGCGGTGGCGCTAAGCAGCTGGAGAGTATAGGTTTGCTATGCGGCGCAAGAGAATTCGTAGACGTATCCGGCAGGGATGGGTTTGCTTGTGTGAACCATAGTATATAATATATAGTAATGTATTCCTCAGATGTTTGCAAGGAGGTAGCGGTAGCATTATGTACTTCATCTGGGAGGGTTTCCTAGTGGGAATTGTACGACGTGGCCTGCAGCGTATTACAAGGGGTGTGTGAGCTTGCTGCCACTACGTGTACGCGTGTACAAAACGAAAAGTGGGAATGAGGTTTTAGCATACGTTCGATTATTTTTGTTGGTGCTTAAGGTTATGGCATGTATGGCGCGTGCGTTTTTGTCTTTATGTAACGTACCATGCTTTTGGGAGGTGGGCCGGTTCCTAGGTAGCTTGTAGTGGTAATCGCAATCTCAAGTTGATTAGTCGTTTCGTACGTTAGTCGTGCACTAGGCTATGGCGCGCGTGGTGCTTTTGTTTTTATCGGGAGATTTGCTCTTTGGCTCGTTGTTGGAGTTGTTTCGTCTGATTTGCTTTGTTGATTGTCATATAGTGAAGAACATGTTGTTTAGTCGGAAAGGCGTGTCTTTTCGTTTTTGTAGTCGATGCAGTGTTATTTGCAGTTTTATTATTTTCTTGCTGGGGTACTTAGTTCCATACCCATACCCGTATGGGTGTGGAATCGTGTACATTTGGTTGGTTTTAGCAGGGTAAGTCGTCTGGTTATGGGTGTTTTTTTGTTTGTCAATATTATTGTTTCTATATTTTGTACTTTGTATTATATGGTTAGTTTCTTTAAGAAAACTTACACTAATTAGCTAATTATCCTTGTTTTATTTAACATTCTTTTACTTAGTAAAAAATAACTTGTTAATTAATATTTCTATTTTTTTTATTAATTATATACTCATTTTAATTTTTTGTTTTAATTTTTTAATTTTTATTACTATGGTAAAAAATATATATATTATTGTTATATATTTATATTTAAACAACTTTATTTTTTAGTTTTTAATTTTTATTTTCTAATTCGTTTTTTTTTTTTTTTTTTT